CCGGAGAAACCTTCCCTATCGTAGGGTATGGCGACGTGACGGTAACCCTTAGCTCGCGCGACGGTGCAACCGACCTGTTGCTCAAACGGGTTGCACACGTTCCTCGATTAGACTACAATCTAGTCTCTCTGACTTTCCTCTTCGACGACGGGTTCGAAACCAAAACCCTAGACAGACACGAGTTGGAGTTGGAGGAAGAGGACGGGAAGTCGGTGTACTTCCCCCGATGCCGTAACCTGTACGTCCAAAACGGTTTGCGCACACACACCGAACATGCCTGTGCCGCAATTGCTCCTGGCAACGCGAAAGCATCCAGCACCCCCGTTGACATCAACGATTTCCACTGCGCGCACGGCCACTCCCACGAGGTGCTGCTGAGGACCACGGCGAAGCAGCAAGGGACGACGCTGGTGGGCGAGCTCCGGGAGTGCCTGGGGTGCTCCACGGCAGAGGGGCTTTCCAAGCCCATCCCCAACAAGACGTCGACCCGAGCATCGCTGCCTCCCATCACAGAGGATGAACAGGAATTCGCGACTGAGGAGGACGAGGTTGGGGAGGGCGCGTCGAACCAAGGTGGAGGGAGGGCGGAGAGAGAACCTGTGGATGGAGGACCAGGTTTCAACCTTGGCACGACGGCAGCCCCAGGGCCCGCGGGGCCGCCCGCGCGCGCAGCGCCGGCGGCACCGCCGGCCGCGCCCCAGGAGTCGGGCGCGGGCGACGCTGGCGATGGCGCCCCCTCGAGCAGGGAGAGCGCGAGCGTCGCCCCATCTACCACGTCGACCGGCACGGCCGATGTGGGCGGCGGCGAGGACGACCGCCGCAGCAGCAGCGGCCGTGGTAACGGCGGCAGCGGCAGCGACAGCAGCAGCGGCGGCAGTAGCGGCGATGACGGCGGCAGCGATAGCGGCAGCGGCAGCGACAGCGAGACGGATCCCCCCTCGCTCTGTGGGCCAGAGGCCCGGCGGCTCGCCCGCTTCGACAAGCCGGCGGAACTCACCAGCCGCCGCACTAGGGAGAACCCTCGCCGAAATCCGAGGTACGAGTCGCCCCCGTCGCCGACAAGTGCCGAAGCCCTGCTCGCCTCGGTGGCGAGCCTGCCCGTCAGCAGCACGGAGGAGTTCTCCCGCTGGATGCTTTCGGTCGTACTTCACGTGGCGGAAGGGCTAGAGGCGAGGGCGGTACGAGACTTGCTCTTCGAGCGCTTGGAAGAGACCCACGCTCNGCCCGACAGCAGCACGGAGGAGTTCACCCGCTGGATGCTCTCGGCAGTACTTCACGTGGCGGAGGGGCTAGAGGCGAGGGTGGTGCGAGAGTTGCTGTCCGAGCGCGCGCAGGAGGCCCACGCTGCGCGCCAAGAGGCGGAGGATTTCCTGCTGGGTACGGTGGACCTCATGCTCAACTCGCCAGACGCCTTCGAGAGGGCTTGGTGTCCCACGAGCTAAGTGAATCCCCCACAGGACCGAAGCGAGATGACGAGAAGGGAGGGGAGGGGCCGGTGAAGCAGGCCATCGGCAGCATGATGTGTGCGTCGACGTTCTCGCGTCCAGACGTCTCGTTCGACGTGCGTGCGATAGCGCAACACGCCCACTCCCCAGCGAAGAGGCACTGGGATGCCATCCAAAAGATCCTCGGCTACCTGAAAGGGACGAGGGACCTCGGCATCACCTGCCAACGGGGAT